CCCTCGGCAATCACAAGAAAGTAAATAATAATGATATTCTGCGTGGAATGCGCGGGTCTAGGGGAAAGTAAGTGCGCAGGCATCATCGACTGCCTGATGATGGACCGCGATGTGTGACACAGCAGCGCAGCCCCTAACGGGCCCCGCGCCGGTGGTTACCACCATGGCAATTACAGGGCCATGTGGTCACGCTGTCCGCTAGCCGACCCTCGCCTGACCTGCGGGGCGCGGTGTAGGGCCCGCGGGATCCTCCCGCCCGCAGCTGATGCGCCTTTTATCTCCCGGACCAGGCCAGCGTTCAACCGTCGGGCTCATGGGTGAGATCGAACCGCACCCTCGCCGTCCCCGCGTCGTAGCGTGCCGTGATGTACGGCTCCGCGCGACCACAGCCCGGCGGGGCCCCGCCAGCCACCTGGCGTGCGGGCCGGAGGGGGTGGCTGCAGGAGAGGGAACGGGGGAGGGGATCCACGCGCGTTTAGTGCGCTGTGGTCGGAGGTAGGGCAGGTCAGGGCGGGGTGGGGTGGGGTGGGCCCCGGGTCCTGGTCCTGGTCCTGCTGCTGCTGCTGCGCGCTGCTGCTGCTGGTGCTGGGGCGTAGTCAGGTCGAAGCGGTGCGGACGCCCTCGCCCGCTCCTCTGCAGACGGGGCGTGGTCAGGGATGTCTTGGGTGAACCTTTTGTGCCGGACGAACGAACGGGGTCGGATTTCTGGGTGCACTCCGCCTACTGGTTAGGCGCGCCGAGCCGGCTAGCGCCAAGGAGGGCCGAGTCGAGCCGACCAGGGCCGAGAAGGGCCGGCAACGGAAGTGTATTAATTGCGGGGAGATGGCTGAATAGTTAGTTAGCCCCATGGGAATGGAGCGGGCCCGGCCCTTTGGGTAGAGTACGGCTCGGGCACCCGACGGGTACCCGACCCGAGTGCAGTTTGCGGTAGTGGATGGCGGGCAGCTCTACCTGCTGCTATTACTACTGCAATACCACCGTTGAAACTGTGTGGCTGCTCAGCGAAAAAAAATGGACCGCTGCCTTCCTTTCTCTTCATTACTTTAGAAATTTTTAAACAATTCTCTCGCTCCCGCTCCATAGCTCGATAGATTACCCGACCAGGGCTTCTGCACGACACGAGTTAAGATAGTAAAGAGAGAAGTGAGAGTGAGAGAGAAAAGAGGAGGGTGGGGGGCAATACCCATGATTTCGTCCCGCGCTCATCTCCGTCGTGGCCACGGCGGATGAAGGCAGCCTTATACTATTCAATTAGAGGTGTTGTCTTCTGGGCACGTCAGGTGTGGGAGTCTGGCTGGCGCTATTAAGGGGCACTATGTGTGAAGTGGGAGGGGGGGTGGCGTCGTGACCAGCGGTAGACAATACCCGTTCATTACAGGAGTGTTTGTGATCAGGTTGTGTCTCTCTGTTCACAGGTCGCGGCAAGATGAAGAGCATGATGAAGATGATGATGATGGGAGCAGCCATGGGCATGATGGGGATGCTGCCCATCATGATGGGCGGGGTGTCCATGATGGCGCTCAAGGCCCTGGTCGTGTCCAAGCTGGCGCTCGTCCTCGCCATCATCATGATCCTGAAGAAGCTGCTCGGTGGCGGCGGGGGTGGGGGC